ATACCATGAAGTGGCATGAGAACCAAAAAAAAAAAAAAAAAAAGCAAACTGATGGATCTTATCCTCAAAAGTTAAGGGAACCATGACTGTTTGACTCAAGTAAAAATCAGGCTCTCGTGAATACTAAACTTCAAGCATCCTGTCTCATGGTGGGTCCGCTGCCATCAGCACGATGGCGATGGCCCTCGCTGTCCCGGCCTGCAGCTGCCTCCCCACTGATGCTGGGGAGAGCCAAGTGGCTGTTGGGCCACCAGCGTGGTGCCCTCTCCCTCGACAGCGACATTACGAGAGACAGGCGCATCCTAGTCACTTCTCCTATGACATTCATGATCGTTAGCAGAAGGGCGAGAGAGCTGTAAGGGTCCTTCTCTTAACAGTTCTTCCCCCCTCCCCAGTCAGCAGTCCCCGTGTGCTTTCAAGAGCTCTAGTCCTCATGCAGGAGCTATTTCACATACATTGTTATTCTTGTTGCTTTTTTTTTTTTTTTCGCGAGTTCTAATGGATCTTTTTAAGGTGGGGAAGGGACCAAACTTGAATACAGGGTTTGTGAAAGAGCGTTTGATCTCTGCAGCAAAACGCTATGTTCACTTTCTATTAACAACTGGGAAGAAAGAAAGAATACTAGACTGTTCCAGTCCAATGCAGTTGAAGTAGCAGGAAACGTGAAAATTTGGAGAGAAAATGACAGTGATGCTGCTGCTGCTGCTCAAGTCAGTAATGAAATAAAACATCAGACTCAAATCTGAAATAGGGGCAGCTGAGGTGAATATGTTAGAGACCTGTAAAACTGCATGTGGCATGGAGAGGACAAGTAGGAAATGATGGTTCGTTGTCTCTGAGGAAATAGAAATTGAGGCACAAAGTTAAAATATTTAATGGCAAGTTCAGAACAAGACTCTTCATACAATGTATAATGAAGCTGTGGAACTCACTGTCACAAGACATTGCAGACACTAAAAATACACTTGGCTTCAAAAGGGGCAAATTCAAGGAGAAGCCCATTAAAGAACATAATGCGCCAAGGGCATTTTGGGTTCAGAAAGTCCAGGATTTGCAAACTAATGTAAGCTGTGACAGTATACCATAAATTACTTGCTCACTATTATATTTTTCTTGTTCTTATGCTCTTCTTTAGGCACCTTGCATTGGCCACTTTTGAAAATGGGATACCAAACTATATGGGCCTTTGGTCGGAGCCAGTACTACTATTTTTACATTAGTACTCCTTAAGGATTAAAGGTTCCATATAAGTACTTACTTTTTCTTGGGGCACTCTTATGTTTGTCATCTTATACCACTATCTACAGCCTAAGATTTATCAGTCACTTCAGGTTTCCCCCCCCCCCGGAGAGTACTGGGGACAAGCATCTCAGTTGGTCCTGCCTGCTATATATATTAAATAGGCTCCTGCATCCCTGAGATTGGAGATGAAAATAAAACCAGTGTGTTCTGCTTTTGCAGAACACAGGCAGGCATTTTCTTAATTACATGCCTGTTCCTCCTTTGAATCACATAACCTCATTTCAAATGCTGGCCTTCTAATGAATGATATTTAAATATTCTCTGTCAGTAGAGTGATGATCTAAGTAGAGAACCACTACATGCTTATGAAGAGATACTTTTTGAAGATAAGAACTTTAATTTTCCAAACCATTGGCTACAGATCTATGTGTCTTGAAATTTACTTTGAAACCAGACCTTCCCATAGGAACTTTTTGGGGCTAGTTAAAGTTACAATGTCATTAGTATTCATAATAAACCAAACCATTGATTGAGATAGAAAACTGCTTGATAAAACCTTGAATTAGAGCGCCTTCAGGTGTTGGCATGTTCTAATAGTAATTTATTGAAATTGAATTAATTTTCCTGATTCAGGGGCTTATTTTTACTGACCAGTGAGGTTAATCAAAATATTTTCAAAGATACTTGATTCATATTTCTGCCTTTGGAACAAAGCTTCAACTAAAAAGCTCTTTGTTCAACAGCCTGCCTCTAAGTTTATATAAGTTTCTATTCTTCCACTTAGATTCTCTCGGAGAAGAATTTGTTACAGAAGATTATGGGTCAGGCTTATAAGGGAATTAGATGCCTAGCACTCCTTTGATTTCTCACTGAAAAAGTGGGATTTGGATATTAAAATACTTTTACAAATCTGAGTCTATGAAAATATATTGCAAACTTTGATCTCAAATTGACTATATTAAATATGTGTAAAAATTCTTGTTCTCCATTAAATATGTGTAAAATCCTCATTCTCACATGTTTTTTCCATTGTATAATGCTATTACTGTCTTCCTGAAATAGATAGAAACAGATGACCAAACAGCCCTGGTCATTAAGCCCAGGAATAAAAGAGGAAACAGTGATTTGGCATCAGCTGGATTTAACATTATCAACTCTATCATAGGATCAGGCATTATAGGTAAGTATACTTCTCTGTATTATAGTTTGATCAACCTTTTTTGTGCATGCATAACTGTCCAGTTTTGAGGCAGAATAAACCATCCTCTTGTTTTATGCTGCTGTTCCTGAAGATTATTATTTGAGGATGCAGAGGTGTCGGGTGAGATCAAAGGTCTCATTGTGGTAAAAAATCCTAGTGGCTCTTTTACCATGTTGACTAGAGACCTGGTTGACCAAGTGCTGAGTGAGCTTTAAGTCTGGGCAACCCTTTGTCCACTAAAAATGATTTTCTGAGGTTATTAAGTATCTGGGAAGCCTTGTGCAGTCTTAGCCCGATCTGGGAGAATGATAGCAGGGCTTTGTGTGTGTGGTTATTTTTGTGGGGGTTTTTGTTTATTTTAATCCGAATATTGCTTTATTTTAGTCATCGCGTACAAGGAGTGTTTGGATAGGTTCTTCTGTAATCTCATATGTTTTATTTACAGGATTGCCATATTCAATGAAGCAAGCTGGCTTTCCATTAGGAGTACTGCTTTTATTTGGGGTTGCCTATATCACAGGTACTATAAAAGCAGCTTCTGTTGTAAAGTGAAAATTAGACATGCACAGATTAACTGTCTTTGAGCTTCCTAATAGCTCAAAGTATACCTATGAATTAATGGAAAATTTTTTACATACCTCACTAATTCTCTGAGCAGATTAGAAGTAGAGAATTGCACTGTGCAACGTATGAAGCTGGTTCTGTGCTCATTTTCTATTTTGGTGAAGCCTAGTTTCCTAGACTAGGTCAAGGTGACATTTGGAAGAATAGCTCTTATTTGTATTTCATAATTGCCTGTTTATAGTCCACTGTTTTTACCCTAAGTAAGGCACTGATCCTTGAGTAGTTTATATTTCACTTGTTTTAAATACATCCCGGAAATAAAACCTTTGGCTGGACTATGATTCAGCGTATTTTATTTAATTGTCATTTAGCAAAGTATCATAAATTTACCTTCAAAAAGAGCCAACTTCTGGAATCACGGGATAGATGAACTTTAATGTAAGTAAAAACGTTGACTTCAAAGGAGAGCTTGAGTAAAGTCATTGTGAATGCAAAGTTTTTTTAAAAAAAAAAAAAAGAACCAAGTCAACCTAAATGGCACAAATTCTGTTGCCTATGTGCTGAGCAGCAGTTGATGACTTTTTTGGCTTATAAATATAGTTTAAGGGTCCATATAGATGGTCAAAATTTGACGAGAACAATGTAGCATAAAGAATGTGGAAAATTCTGCTACAGCAAGTTGCTTATGATATGAGGCATGCTTTCATTATGGCATAGTTCACAAATTAAAGTTCCCTTTAGATAGGAAATATGATTCATGTCCTTTGAATTTCTGTGTTTTTTGAAGACTTTACAGCTGTAGGTGCAGAACATGTGAATTAAACCCAGCATTTTACCATAGTAAAGATAAGACTCCTATAATTTTGCTCGTGCAAAATATATTTACTGTAGTTATAAATTCCTGAATTGAAGTGTTTCAAGTGCAGGATAAAGTAAGTTGCATGAACACTTATTATCCCCAGTCCTCATTGACTAATTAGTGAATAATTGTCATTTAGAAACTTTGGCTGTATTTCATTTTTGGGAATGTTTTTGAATGATATTGGGAACAGTCCTAAATTGCCAAACAGATATACTGCTGGATCATTTAAGTATAAATGTGTTTTCTAAGTTCTGTGGATCTAAGATCCCTTGCTACAAAGTAATTTTTCTTGTACAAAATCATCTCAGCATGCAACTTAATTGATAGTGAATACTTATGTATTTCTGCTTCTCTCTGCTGCTAATTATAGTGAAAGTGAGTATATACTATGCAAGAATTGCATGTGCACAGGGGAATCTCTTTGGATTGGTCGTCTTATTAACATTCAGTAAAAATCTCCTTTGTAATGATTGTGCAATTGAATTATGCACAACTTACAGCCATACTCAGCAGAATTTCAAAAAAAGTCACAGTTTCAGTCATTCCTAGAAGGCAATAAACGCTAATATTCTTAACTTAAAGAAGCTGTTGCTATTGCAGCGTAGATTACAGGCTAAATGAAAGCCAGGTGGGTGAGGAATAGACAAGGTCTAGCCACTGTCTGTCAAGATGTATCTGCACTAAGGCAATAAATTCTGTGCTGTAACTAATCCAAGCTGGAGAATCCTGTGGTGCTTAAATAATTACTAAAGCACAACTTGAAATAACAGTAATGTTAAATAGAATTCTTCATGCAAGGTGGTTGTTCAATCAGGGAGCAATTCTACCTGTGACCTCAGTTCTGCCTCAAGGCATATTGCCTCCTGAAGGAAAGTGGCTCAGTTTGAAGGGCGTTCAGTCCCTGAATTTCCTGATAATCCACTTTGTGTATGTTTTCTTTCAAAAAGTACTCAATAAAAATGGTTAAAATACATTTTTATGGCAAATAACAGCGAGGGCACAAAATATTGACCAAACTTTATCTTTCGCAAACTTAACTAAATAGCAAAGTGATCCAGAGCTCTAGCAGCATGACACAGGCAGTCCTCGTGTTCCACTGCACTTCTGTAGTGGCGTGTGCCATTTGTTCAGGAGCCCTCCACGTTAACTGAATTTTCTTTGTTTTTGGTGCTTGTGACAGTTCTTGCTGCCTTTGACCATATTGGAAACCGGTGAAAATAAGCCTGCTTCCAGCTTTCATGAATCAAGACAGCAGAATTTCCCTCTAATGTGAGCCCACAGCTTCTGGCTTTGGTGGATTGAAATCCTTTGTGAGGATACTTCTCTTCCTTGCTCTTCCCAATGCCACGATTTTCCTTTTCCCTTTTTACAGATCTTCTTTTAAAGAGTGAACTAGCTAAGCAGTAATCAACCTACCATCTTTAATAGTAATTTTATATTTTAACAGATTATTCCATTATATTACTGGTCAAAGGAGGGAACCTCTCCGGTACGAGCACCTATCAAGAGCTGGTCAAAAAAACATATGGTCTTATAGGTTATTTAATTCTTTCAACTCTTCAATTTTTATATCCATTTATTGGTAAGATCACATAAAATATGAATATTTAAATTTTATAAATAAATAGGACTTTGGCATATCCTCATCCTTTCAGCAGTTAAGTATGAAGAACGCTGTCAAAAATAGACTGCACAAGTCTCTCTTTAATACATTTTGTTAAAAGTAACTGAGAACTGAAGAATGACTTAAAGATTAATGATAAAAGTAGCTATCAGAAATAGCAAAGAAGAGACTCTGCTAGAATGGGTAACATAGCACACACAAATTTGGTGTGCCTGAAAGAAAAGGAAAATGGGATTTTTTTGAATATATCGAATTAATATTTTTTGAGAATATTTAGACAAGCATTAACATCTCTAAATGACAAGCCACTGATTGAACCTCACCTGACTGATCTATGAGAATGTTCTGTGCTATCGTCATTCTTCAAAAGCATGAATTCAGCCTGATGGCCAGTGAACTGCTAGGCAGCCAAGGCTCCATTGTACAAGGAAGAGTAAATGAATTGGTTTGTTTTGCTTACCAAAATGGAAAACTGAAACAGAAGTTCTCTTTATGTTGGGAGAAAGAATGGAGGGAGAAACACTAGTGAGGAAGAAGAATAATTTATGCTCTTTAGGGAAA